ATATTCAAGAACTTCGTGAGCAGGTTGTTAAACCTTTGGGAGCTTAAAATTGGTCATGATGGAAATATTTATACCACAGAAATCAGCAAATGCTAGAAATCAGGGCTTTTTGTTTTTATCAGCACACCACTGAAGTGGGATAATGGGTATATGGATGTTTATTACACTGTTATGTCTACTCTTGCAAAAGTCTGAAAACTTTGGTAGTAGTTTATAAAAAGAGGTCCAATTATTTTTCCAGACTTTTAAGACCTTCCACAATTTGACGGCAACCTAATTTGCAACTGAATTCTTACTGTACCAGAGCAATTAAATCACTCTAAGTCCCTAGAAAACACCCTGAGCATCACTACTGGTGTCTTTGTCTTTTCCTCCCAGGCTTCTCCTGCCCTGAGGTAAGCTCACTACCTCACTTCCTTCTCATCCATCCCTGCCCAAGTACAATGGCACATATACCTGGAAAACTTCCCTGCTTGCTCCATATAGATATAATTTCCCCTTCATCTGAATTCTCAAAAAGTTTCTAAAGGAAGAAATAAAAGCAAGTGCTGTGTGTTCCAGGCATTGTGCTAGGTGGCTTTCATGTGCATTGTCTCATTTGAGTCTCGCAACAATCGTGAGGTAAACTGCACAACTTTTTTGCTTAAGAAGGAAAATGAGGATCAGATGCATTAGGTAACCTTCCCAGGATCACAAAGCTAATATCAGTGGCAGAACATTCCAGAACTTTCAACTCTAGGGGAAGGGTCTGTGCACAGCATGGAGCCCCACACAAAGGTCTCCCAAGGATGTCTGCTGAATAAAGTGGCAACTAAGTGACTGAATGCCCTGTTTTCTCCATACTAAAAAATGTCTTCCTGTGTGTCCTGGTTTACTCTCTTCTCACCCTGCAGTATGATGTGCCTTTTGGGTCACTCTGAGTCAGAATCGATTCAACAGCAACAAGTTTGGCTTTTGTTTTGTTTTGTTTGTTCCATAATAGCAATGAAAATTTTAGAAACTCATTAAAAATGGCTACCCTTCATAGGACAGCTATTACACTTGCCCCACAAAATCCTATCACGAGGCACACTTGAAGTGAAAGTCCACGTTTCCTTAACGTAGTTATCCTCTTCTCCTCCCAGACAATGGAGAGTTTATAAAGTAAGTGCAAACTCAGTCCTGTAGTTCTTGCTGCCTTCTGCGGGGGATGGTTCTTTGCAAGGTTGCTTTTCCAGCCCTGGGCATGTGGAATCCACACCTGAGTTCAAGCCAGATGCCATGGTTAGTTCTTCACCACATCACCCACCTGGGCCTTTGTAAATATATGCACACATGCCCATGGGCACTCACTCCTGGGTATTTTACTGCAAAGTTTAAGGAACCTTCACATCCCCTGTAGGAATTAGGAAATAAACAGTTATAAATGCCCAAAAGGCTTGGATGCTGTTTGCATTCTGGGTGAGGGCACTGGATCCTAACACTTGCCTTGGTTTGCTGGTAGAGAACTCAGCCTGCAAAAAGAATGGGATGGCCAGCAACAGGCGAGTGGTTAAATAAATGATGGTATCAGCAACCCGTACAAGAATAGCCCCCTGTAGAGAACTTTTCAGTGTCATGGGAAGCATGC